TGGCACCGCGGGTGGCTGTTGTGGTGGTAATCGATGAGAACGATGCGATGGTCGATCTTTGCCGATGTCGATTTGAACATCGACGATCAGGAGGCAGAGCGATAAGGCATCTGCGTTGGTGTCGCATCGCTCTACCTCCTCCAATGCCACTCTGCATCTGCGTTGGTGCTAAGAGGAGGCAAGTTAGGCATTTGCGTTGCCGACGACAAAGAAGAGGCAGGTGAGGCAGAGCGGTGCCAAAGGAGGAAGAGGAGGCAAAGCGATGCGGTGCCGACACAGATGCCTCACTTGCCTCTTCTTCCTCCTCCGGCGTCGCACCGTTCTACCTCATCCTCCCGGAATACATTGAGGCAAATGGAGCAATCGGTGCCCTGCATCGATCCCTCGCCTTTCTAGTACTTGTGGGCTGCGATCTTGTTGATCAATGCCTTATCAAGCCCGTTCGATGGGGAAGCATATGAAGTTTCATCGAACAAGCTTGATGAGACATTGATGAGCAAGATTGCAGTTCACAAGTACCAAAAAGGTGAGGAATTGGTGCGGAGCACTGATTGCACCATTTGCCTCGACGAATTTTAAGAGGATGTCAGCTTGTGATGCGACACCAGAGGAGGAAGAGGAGGTAGGTGAAGCATCTGTGTCGTCGTCGGATCACTCTGCCTCCTATTCCTCTTCCCTCCTCATCATTGGTGATGCATATGCCTCACTTGTCGTATCTTCCTCTTCCAACGCCGACGCAGATCGATGTCAGAAGAGGAAGAGGAGGCAACGCCAATACAACATCAATGCAAATGCCTCATCGCTCTGCCTTGTCTTTCTCGTTGTTGATGTTTAGATTCACATCGACAAGGTCAACCTCCACATCATTCTCACCGACTACCACCACAACAGCTACCCACGACGCTATCATCCACTACCATCGTTGAAATTATCTTTTTGCCCATCATTTTAGTGTCATTCATGCATGTGCTGTCACGTGCTGTATCTTCCATCGGTAAAACCGACAATGTTAGGATAAATGAGTTAAATGTTTCGCTTTCATATTTATAAGAATTTCAATGTAAATTTTTTAAGTCTAGGGATCGAAATGCTAATGAGATCTAATTAGAAGGGGTAATATGCATTATGTAATTGGCTCAACATCAAGTATAACTACAAACACGATTCACCAATTTAAAGCATGTGAATCTCCAAAGATATTAAAATTATCTACAGTTATGTGTTTGATGCCAAAACACAAACTTCTGCATTCTAGCTAGCATTCTGTGCATACAAAACCTTAGAGCTTAGCAAAATCCATACTTTGAATTAGAATTTGTCTTGACTATGCATTTCTTCAGCTAATCAGAACCTCATCTTAGTTTTAAAACTAAGATACTTAAAAAAATTTATCAACTAAGGATGCCATAGTATGGTGGCTTATATGTAGACTACCATCGCCAGAGTAAAGTCCTGTATTTATCAAGAGTTAAACAAATTGGTAATCAACCTCTAACACAGGCTTAAAGGCAGAATCTAAGCCAGATATTACTATGTATGCTGAAAATAGGACTAGTGAATAAAATTGAACAGAAGTTAAAAATTTATCTGCAAGACCTGCATAACAAACAGTTAACTAACACAAAAGTAATTTTTTTACCAAACCATTGCAGCAAAATACTCTCCCTTGATGTCCTTCAATATCTTATTTGCAACATGATTCAGTCTTCCTGATATACTTCTGTTGTGCACACATGCACAGTGACCGGTAACTGTACAGGAAAATAATAAACACACAGTGAAGATATACATATATAAGATAAGGCAGTTATAAGTATCTATAAGACACTGCATATTGACAAGATAAAGCAGCATAAACTAATCAAAGCATTTACAATTTGCATGTCAATAAACTTAGATCACTTGTAAATCATATTTTGCCCGTCTCAACAATCAAGTGAGCATTTAAAGGAAGAGGGCCTGTAGGAGAGGAGGGTTGCAAGGTAGACGAGGATACATGTCATTGAGAATAAGTTTTCGTGGATCAAATAGTAACAATGCAGGTTAATGAACTAAGCAGATGCCGAGGAAAATACAAAATCTCATTTGAGGGAAAAAAAATTTCAAACACAGGCATGCATGAGGGCAACATTTCCATAGTAAATTAAAAAAAAAAACATTTCCATAGTAAATAGAAGCTGAGCAACTGGGATCAACAATACCATCACCTTATAGTAAGCAGCACTTTCCACCCAAACGTATAAAATAGTCTTATAAGCATTCTGCAGTTAAGATTCTTAAGTCAACAATGAACCTACCGCTTAAAGCATTATGTTGACTAATAGTTCTCAAATAAAAAATAGCATATATATAAATGGCTGAAATGGAGCTTAAACTATAAAATAAAGGGAAGAACATGAATAGGGTCTATTAGCTTATACAAGATAAGCAACAAAAGACACTATTATTTATTAAGAAGCAACTGAAATTAAATGAAAAGCAAAAAAAATAAAAGGCCCAAAGAAAGATGCCCCTTGAAAGTACAAAATTGTGTGGTAAGAACATATTCATGACTCTGAAGCTCATTTCCATGCCTACATCTTGATGTTAAATAATAATACAACAACTAGGCATAAATAGCCAGCCTCAGTTCAGAATATGTTAACTTATGCTTCAGCGTGAACTGATTCTGACTGTGCTTCCTGTTCCAATTCCTTCACTGCTGTAATAAGACTGCGGGTTGTTCCCTTAAGGAACAGACCACTCTCTTTCATCTCCTCCAGAAGCTTCTCAGCTGTGCACCAATCAACAGCCTTGAGGCATAAAGTCTTTATTAATTTATTGTATTCATCTGCATTAGGTTGTACCCCATAGTCTTTCATCTCCTTCAAGCAATTAAGGGCCTTGTCATATTCCTCCATCTTGCAATAACCACGTATAAGTATGTGATAAGTTACGGGACTAAGTTTAGCATGATTTTTCTTGGCTTCACGATAGATCCCATATGCCTCATCCATCAGGCCGCCTTTTGCAAAGCCACTCATGATTACACAGTAAGTATAAATATCTGGTCGTAGTCCTCTACCTTCCATTATCTTCATCACAGCAATGGCATCCTCCATTTCTCCTCCTTTAGACAAAGCAGTAATAACATAATTGAACACTGCACTTCCAGGTGCTGGCCCTGATTGCGCCATTCTTAGCAGCAATTTCTTTGCCTCCTGTGGCTCTTTAACCCTACATAATCCGTGAACCACTGAACCAAAAGTTGTATTTGCATACTTGAGAGAATCTGTAGGGTAGTTGTCCAATAACTCTAGAGCTATCCGCACAGTTTCATCCTTTCTAGAGAGACTGCTAACCAAATAATCGAAGCTAGATCTTGGAAGGAATATCTTCTTTTCCTGAGCCATCAAATAAACCAAATGGGCCTCTTTTGTCATTTTCCCTTTACATAAGAAAGATATCACCTTACCAAGCTTTTCACCATCAGGAAGGTTTCCTGAGCTAAGCATCTTCTCGCAAACAGACCATGCAGCGTTAAACATGGATCGTTTACGAAGGGCTTCAATTGTTAAGTAGTATGTATTTCCATCTGGGTTACAACTGAATTCATCGAACTTGTCGAAAACTTCAAGACCTGCTCTGGCTTTCTCAAGTCTCCCAAACATTGATATTAATTGATTAAGAATCGAAGTGTTTACCAACCCCTTCTCATTTCCAATTTCCTTGATCAAATCCCACAACATGTATGCCCCCATTTTGTTAAGATCTGCAGAACTGCTGAGAGCATTGACAAGAAGCTCCACCATCTTCAAAGATTTGACCGATTCTTCACTTCTCAAAGCCCATCTGAAGAAGCCAACCAAATTGTGACCCGAGACATAAGGTGTCTGAAGCACCATCGCCACTAACTCTTCACTCAAACTGACTTCAATCTTATCCAAGCTAGATTCCAACGGCTCTTGCGAAGAATCTCGAAGAAGGGACCGTACCTTGTCGACCTGCTGGATATCAATCTCAGTGACCGAGCCCGGATCCTCTGCTGCTTCGCCTACGGGCTCCAAGGGAGCAAAAATGCCCAAGGAATCATCATCCTGAATGCTCTCCTCCCGTAAAGAGCTCAGGCTCTCTGCCCCCACCTGACTTTCATCCTTCCCACCATCCAACTCGGAAGAACCCTCCCCTCCATCATCAACTCCGTCGATCCCAGTTTCGCCGGCATCCGAAATCAATGAATCACTCGACTCCACGAAACCAAAGCTACGGTTTTTATCTTCGTCATCTCCAGAAACAGCTTCGTTTGGCGAAGAGAAGAACCGGAGGTTTTGGAACTGGAGATTGACGGGACGGGCCCATCCGAGCGTGAAAGGAGGGATCGGGGATAGGGTTTTGGAAGAACCGCGCTTCGATTGGGATGGAAAGGGCCGTCGGATCAAGGATCGGAGAAGGAAACCCCTAGCTCTGGAACGCCACCACATCGCTTCACTTCGTCGTCCGGGAGACTCCGGGGGCTGCGACAAACGAGAAGCGAGCGGCCTCTAAGGTTTCTTCTAGGGTTTTCCGTTTCCTTTAATGACTCGCAAAGGCGTCGTGTCCGGTTGGGACCGCAGGAAACGGCGGTCGCAGCTGGGCCTCTTTGGTTCGGCGGATTCACCTGCGGCTCCGAAATCCAAAAGCAGCGCCGAAGGTGCTATTATAGACGGCCCAAAGCGGGTCCGGATCGGGTTCTTGAAACCGCATGGTCCGAGTCCGTTTCTGTGATGATGTGATCACTGTTTATGATCGGATCCGTAACCCTTTCTTGGGATGACTCGATTCGATCCATTTTCCGTATACGTCTCCAAATCTGAACTCAACCTATTATACGTAGATTTTATGCATATAGACTCATAAGCATTTTCTCATGTGAGGGAGTAAGAAACATTATCTTAAATGAAAACAATTATAAGATAAGAATTGTTATTATTGATGTTTATTACTGCAATCAACAAAGATCAAACATACAACACACAGTCACAGAGTTCATGGGAGAGTTGATACCAAAAACATAAACAGCAGAAAACACAACAAAAACAAAACAAGTCAGATAACACACAAAGAATAACTACACGAAGCTCCTCCGCCCGGCAACAGCGCCCGCAGGCAGCGACACGATGGAGTCGATGCTCATGCCACCCACCGACACCGTCGACCTGTGCTTCCCTCGTCTTTCCGTCCTCTGCGACGCCCCGCAGCCACTGCCGTCACCGCAACCTCCGCCACCCATTGTCTCCTTGCCGCCGAACAGGGAGCCTATGCTCTGCCCCAGAGCAAACGAGAACCTCTTCTTCTTCGGTTCCTGGTTCGCATGGTGGTCCTTCACCTTGGCCTTGGCGGAGGCCGTGGGCGCCATGTAGTTGGGCACCTCGAACGGCGGGCAGCTTGTGAGGCTCGCGTCGTCCGCGTCCTCGTGCCTGCGGCGCAAGCGGTGTCGGTGCGGCTGCTGGGGGGCCGGGGCCGGGGCGGGCGTGGCTCGCGGGAGTCCCGCGGCGAGGAAGCGCGGCGTTTCGACTGGCGGCGCCGCGTACGCTTGGTCGGACGGGAGCTGCCGCTCGAGCCATGTCCACCACCATGGGGCGCTGGCGGACCGGAGGCCGGTCAGCATCGCCTCGGCTGACCTGGGCGTCACCTTCAGTAGCTGCCATCAAAGAATCCATGAACAAGTTAGCATTGTTGTTGATGTTTCAGATTAGCTACAGGCTAATAAACATTTAGAAACGATTTGAAGGCCAGATTTGCTTGCATGATCGCTTTGTGGTTCTAATGAGTTACCCGAGGAAGAGGAAGGCTTTAGAACTCCACATTTCAAGATAGTGTGTTTACTGTAAGATTGATGGCAGAACATGTTTGATTCATCAGCATGGGAACATTACCTGATGGGAATAAGCATAAGCCAATGCTCTCTCTCTCTTGATGACTGCCTCCACCTTCCTTCGCATCCTCGCTTCCTCCTCGTCTTTGGTGAGCAAGCTATCGTCCCATTCTCCGTAGCCTCCTGCTTCGGTCTGCAAGATGTGCACAACCAAAGGTAGTAGATATGCTCATATGCATGAGATGCATTGGGCAAGTAATTGTTGATGGTGATCTCTCACTTGGTGAGCAACGCTCCATTCGCCAAAGTTGCTCTCCATCTCCTTTTCGCTCATTCGTGGAGTGTGGTGGAGTTGAAGGCTCCTGCTCTCCACCATCTGCAGCCTCCTGCTGTGTATTTGTGACTGTACTCGAACAAGCATCTGCATGCATCGCATGGTGTTCATCGTCTGATGCTTCACGTGCTGCCCTCTCATGACTCTTTGAAGTCGCATTAGTCCCCTCAGCGCTCCGTAGCTCTGCCTCGCCTGCTTCATGTAAAGGAATTTTGATTTCTATCTTCTTTTAAGCTCACTAAACAGATCATAGTGCTGAGATTTAATGAACAAAGGGTTGCAAGATACAGTTTTCTGTGCATGGCTCTTTTGATCTTTAGATGAAACTGATATCAACTAATTATGATCTCTGCTAAGGTGCACATCTGTTCTTCGAGGAAAAAGTAGGACAAAAGGCCACCTCTATCATGTTGCAGAATTCTAAATTCTCTATGGAAGGTGGTATTAGTTTTTTTTTCTTGCACATTGACATTCTGATTTTAGTCGACTTGATCCGTGTGTTTTATATCGATAAATCAAATACTAACAAGATAAAAGGAAGGAAGCCGCAATTCAAATACTAATTGAGCTGACCTTGTAACCTCTATAGGCTGCTTGAATTCTGGTTGCTGAAATGTGAACATAGTTGGGGATGACTGCTGGCCGAAGTGCAGGTGATTTAGACTGTTGAATTTTCTTCGGGGGCACCAAATGCAATCTCTGGTGCTGCTCATTTTCGGCATCTTCAAGTATTTTCTCAATGCTGCTTGGTTCTCTATACAGGGGAATGAAAGAACTGAACTCGCCATGCTTCGATTTCCCGAAACCCCATCTTTTCTTCTCTCTTGTAGATTTCTTTTCTAAACCCTGCAATTATCAAGCAGTCCTGTAGGATTAGAATTTTGTTAATTAACAACTGTCATGGTTGATTGATCATTGAACTATAACAAATTTGACATTATAATACCTCATGCAGAAGGTTGAATCATATATATATATATATATATATATATATATATATATATATATATATATATATATATATATATATATATATATATATATAT